ATCATAATTTTATAACATGAGTAGGAACAGTAAGAATATTTTCATACGATTTTTGTTAATGAGCAAAGAACATTTTGGAGGGGAAATATTGAACCGTTCGTACATCAGAAACATGTTCCTATTCGGATAAATCAGTTTTTCGTTACCAGTGCAAATTCTTACTGTATCTTGATGCATAATGTTCTGGATTGTGGACAGATGATAAAGCACCAAACTCTGCCACAAGACAAGTATCATTATGCAGTACTTTAAAAAACAATATTTATCGTCATACTTCACCATTGCAATCACATAATAATTAAAGCAGTTTCCAGTGGCCTTCTTCAATCGGGTTCGAACTTACTTGGCAAAATACTCTAGCTCTGCCCCGGAACTAACCCGGAACTGACTATCGATTCCACTATAGGAAGGTGCATATACATGGCACAAACTTTTTTAATAGAGCTCACGACATAAATTTCACTATATCCTTAGCATTGTTTACGGTTTCTATCTATCTAACAAGGGAGATTGATTTTTCATGTGTTTATTTCAATAATAGCATCAGCAAGTTGAAAAATACATTGTAAATCATTGATAGTATAATGTTAAGGCCCGGTCACACAGGGAGGACGCATGGGGAACGCACGGCCAGCGCATTGGAAATTTGCAATTTGGGCCAGTGCGTTGTCGTTCGCTAGGCGTGCGTCATCATTCGTTACTCGTTCGTCGAGCGCGCTGGACCAACGCTGGACCAGCGCTATGCATGCGTCGTCATTCGCTGTGTGCGTCGGGATTTTTTGAGCATGCTCAAAAACGTGCGCCGAGCTCGACGCATGAATATACACGCCAAAGGCACGCCAGACATGCGCCGGAGCGCGCTAGACCAGCGCCAGACATGCGTGGAGCGCGCTAGACCAGCGCCAGACAAACGCGGAGCACACGCCCTGTATACGCACAGCGCGCTAGCTACACGCCGTGCATTTTGTGTCAGCTCGCTAGCTTTTCCAAAATTATGACAAAAGTTAGGCACACGTTCTTTTCCGATTTCCAATGCGCTGGCCGTGCGTCGTAGAACGCGGTGCATGCGTGGACCATTCGTCCAGCGCGCTAGCAACACGCTGTGCATTCGTGGAAGTTGTTTTCATGTGCGCTCTGTGTGCGCCCTGTGTGCGCCCTGTATACGCCCTGTATGCGTCCAGCGCGCTATGCATTTGGTGTCAGCTAGCTGTATAGCTTTGACAAAAGTTGGGCGCACGACAACGCACTGGCCAAAATTGCAAATTTTCCATGCGCCGGCCGTGCGTCCCCCATGCGTCCCCTCTGTGTGACCGGGCCTTTATGGCGGATGGTTCGTTTCATTGATACAATATTTACAATTCCTCAATGCGGTCCTTTGTGCAATAAGAGACATCATACAAAACTGTGCTATTTTTCAAATGTTTAACCCTACGCTCTATAGGTTTTAATCCCCGGGTTTTAATCACAATATAGTTACGTTATTCATATATTCGTTATTCATCGACGTTATAAAAGGGTTCCGAACAGACATAATGACAACAACTCATTCTTACCACATTATTTCTTATTCATCAGTTATAAACGATTACAATGAGATCAATTAAAACATATCATTTAGTTTAAATTCATGACATTGATGGTTCTTCATGTATTGGAATATTATCTGGTAAAAAGAAACCCATAAAACATTGCAACCTTAATTGTAACATAAAAAGTTACAAAATAATTTGAGTCTTAATATGATCAACTGGCATCAAAATTGATCATTGACAAAGTAAACATCGACCTACATGATAATGAATACGTTTGTTATTATGTCTTTAATGCTTTTTAGTAGAATGTGCCGCTCATTCTCGCAAATTCTGTAAATCCTTTTAAGAAAAGCTTTTACTCGCTGGTTAAATATCATCACCATCATGCATCTATGCAGACTTTTGTGTAAATTAGTCTTCTTTGCAAAGTAGGCCTATTTGCCGCATTGTTTCGACCTACATTTGCTATCTATGTAGATAATGTAACGTTGCATTATATCCATTAATCTTTTTAAACCGTTTTCGTTTGTACGTGTTATACTTTACCTTTATCCTACATTCAACTCATAATCAAGCGAATTTACACATTAAAGAAACAAAACGTTCATCACTGAACCCTACAAAAACAACTAAATTATTCATACCCTTACCGAGTTTTTTTAATATTTTGAATTATGTGAAAATTTGATTTTTGTCCCGATTCATTCTTCAGAATGTGACATGTGAAAGCTTACATTTAAAAGTATTCAACAAAGCCCCTTATTCAACTCATCCTTAAGTTACGAAAAACCGCAAAATACAATGTTCATCAAATTTACACGGGGTATGAATAATTCACTTGTTAACTAGATAGAAGCGTCTCACAAGATGTAACCCTTAATTCGATAAAGTGCATTATAATCCTAAACCGGTCAGGCTTTTGACTAGCTGGGTGTGGGGTTTCCACCACCCCCTAGAAATGCACCCTATCGAGTTGCCCACGCCCCTTAGAATGCTGACTACCGGTATTTTGGGGGTTCTGAGATGAAGCTTAATTATTTGGAGCCAGAAGGGCGTTAACTCTTTATAACAGTATATGAGTTAACGTACTTCTGGATCCAAACAGACGGTTTCTTAGTATGTACATTTATAATGGCTATGGTATTACAGGTAATCAAATAAAGAAATTAAGGCAAATTGTACGTAAGCACTGGTGTAAATTGTTTTACAAATCTGCATAAAACAAACATATCTTCAAAAAAATACATGTTACATTGAAACCAATACGTAACAAGGCAAGTATATGGCACAAAAAATTGCATAACAAAATTAGCAAAAATTCAAAATGATGCTCAGCATTTTTTTTCATTAAAGTGTAAAAACATAAACAAACATAATTAGATTAAAAATCGCATATACTTATCAAATATCATGGATGAACACTTTGGGAACAAACATCATAACAGGAAGCTATGTCCGTTCTTTTGATGAAGATACCTTTTTATTAGAATAATTTACTGATTCATAAAGGAATTCTATTCTTTCTTCCCAATCCCAAGTAGAATTTTCTAATCATCATCGTTAGGATTTTTTGTCCTCATGAAGTATAGTATTTTTTAGATAGATTTAGCTGTATGTTGTTCCACACAGTCACTGACATAGGGTTTTCATCATTGTTTTAAAAAGTCACGCTACAACAGTACATGGCAAGTCATTGGCTACTTTGGAAGTCGACATAGTAAATCAACCAATCACATCAACGCATACATTAATTAACATCTGTAATCGAGCCAAGTAAACTATACAAAGTGAATGGCAGTGAGATTATCCATGAAAATGGCACATAATATTATTCAATCAATCAATTAAGTTGTGTACATTATAGAACTCGTTTAAAGTCACTTTCTCATTTACTTTTCATATCTGGCAAAATTTATGGCTTATTGAGTAACTGATATCAATTTTCGGCATTTTCAACAAAAATCAAGCCCCTTATCCTGCCTGCTGCTAAAGTTTCCACAAAATACTCTCAAATCGCCAACACTATTTATACATAGATTGTTATTGTTGTAGTATAACAATGAAAGAAAGAGGGATAATATATCGACTTTTCGATGGTAAAAACCTGCAAAAAGTAATATGAGACATTATACATGTATATATTGAAACAACATTGCTGCATATACTAAATTTCTTACTCCAAAGGATAGTAACAATTAATGTGTTTTTGTCTACTGCAGATTTCTGTTTTGAATTTCCTTTCATTTAATCGATGCGATTGTGTTTATATCATGTTGATACCAGCGCTCCAAGCAAATGATTCATGTAACAAATAATCGAGCACAGATCATTTACACTCTGAAAAACATCATTTGTCATTGACCTTTTAGCAGAGCGTACCTCGATCCATTATTTTGTTATGTTTGGGAATACAATTGGGACTATTCACACTACAACGAGAGATGACGCTAGACCACTCTGCTGACCGGTAGTCATTGCTGGTTTGACTCGTTCAACTCGATGATCGCAAACCCGAGCATTATATTATACTCATTACGTCACACGCGAACAAGTGTATGTACATATATATTTTTGCCTTTTTATCTTTGTATTAGTTTGCATCAGCCTTATCAATTCACACAACCTCGAGGAGAAAATCATGGTCATAACTGATTCTTTCTTTCTTTTTTATTTACAGCGAGTATGTATCTTGTATTTAAGGTTTGGTCTTTTTTCAGCCGACATCAGGTTTTATATGGAAGGCTCTCTAGACCAAAGTTGAGTTCCGTGTAAAAGGAATTATAGAGTAGGGCAGAGGTAACATATCGTCATGGGTGTAAAATCTATTACTTTTATTTTTCAAAATCCATCCTAAAGTGAATCGGCAGTAATGTTATTCTTAAACACGACCGTCAGTTTCAGTGATATCTGTGGAATCTAATGTCCGCACTGATTGTTTTGATCTTCAGTAATCTCAACCGTACCAGTAATCTTCATAAATGTAATATAATAAATAATACTTTGAAGATTTTGCTCCTGACGACCCTAAAGCTTGCCAGCTAGGGGCTTACCCGACATAGCACAAGCTACAAAGATTCAATCCATCCAAATGCTATCATACATACTCATGTAAACTAAATAGCTCGTCATTTGAAAACATCAATAAACAGGTCCGTTTTCCATCCTACTTTGTCATCTAACGACATCGCGATTTTACAATGCTTGAAATAATCATTGGAATGGCTGTTTAAATATCTTTTCGATTAATCATTGGGGCGACTCATACACACCAATCCTGTACTATCGAGAATTCACGTGACATTCGGTAATGGACATAAGATACAGTACACAACTTACAGAAGACAAGACGGCACGGCTGAGGTATATTTGGGAATCAATGCTTTCAAAATAAGTCGTGCTCATCATCTCTGATAACAAGGATTCATGCTGCAATGACAAAAACAAAATGAGATCATCATTTTCTTCTCACTCTGTGCTGTTCAGCGATTGGATGATAGATTATATGCGATTAAAAAAATAATCGGACAGACTCGTTGCGCAGGTAAAGCGGACTTCAATAAATAAACTATGCTCCCTATCCGAGGGGCATTCGTCATACTTGACTGACGGGTCCCTTGCCGACAGTAGGTGCTTGGACCTTGTACGAGGTATTCCCGAACGGAGCACGACCTCCCCCGAGACCACCGCCGCCCCGTCGTGAGATGTCGTCCCGTAGCATGATGTCCATGGCGCCGGGACGGCGTGATGGGCTGCTGCCGCCGGGACTGCAGTGGAAGGATACGAAGATGATGGTGAGGACGATGACACCAGCCATCAAGATGCTCATCAGCTCTGACTTAGGCTTCTTACATATTTTATCTTTAAAAAAAGTTGGAAAGAGAATGAAAAGAAATATAGAAACATGTTGCGTTATATATTCTATCTTACGGTAACAATCAGTGCTAATCCTATTCATAGATGTATTGTTTATTGCATAGTCATGTGAATATAATTACAAGTAGGAATAGGCAGCAGAAATGAGAGAAGAGGGAAACGTTGAAGTTACAGTACTTTGAGTTTGAAGAAAGAAAGAAAGAAACGTTGGTAATTTGAATACATTTTTGGATATGGTACTATCCCTTCCAAGACCCCCCCCCCCTCCCCTGACTGGATGCACACTATATAACGAAATTTAAAATTCAAGCTGAAGTCGTTGACAGTGTAGTTAAGGAAATGTGATAGAGAGAAAAGAAGTAATAGACAGAGGGAAATAAATGGGTAGGATGAGAGTGAGAGGATCAAGAAAAATAAGAGTTTACCTGGAGGAATGCAATTAATGATGACTTTCTTGTCTTGAGCATCGTCGCTTGAAGGAAGGATTGGATAGGAGCAGTTGAGATATATATCTGAGCAGATGTCTGCTTGCCAGGCCCATGAGTCATTCGAAGTGCATTGGATACATAGATCTGAAAGAAAGATAAGGAAAGAGAAAATTAACTAATATTACTTAATTGGACTGTTGTTCGTTCAGTCAGTTACTAAACATAGTGTAAAATACGAAAGGAACATAATTCCTTCGTAATGATTACAGGGGTATACATCTCTCGATGTCCTCGTCAAACCAATCCTTTTCATTAACAAAATTGAATATCTTGATGGATTTTTCTTAAAAACAGAAATCAGCAAGTTTGAGCTCTCAGAGTGCTTGAAGGGACACGGGTGTTGAAACTGAAAGAGCGCCATCTTCTGATTTTCAGTTGGAGTCAATGTCCATAGAAATCGAGGTACTTGATCACACAAGGTCGTCATGAACAGTACCCATATAAATGCGTGATCACGTACTGTAATACAACCTATCAATATTATTATGCCTCACAATAAGCTTGAAGGACCTTGCCTAAAAAGCACCCGAGAAAAGAAATGTCCATATATTTTTTAATGAATGTCTTTTTTTAGTTTCATGTGCTTAAATGCCACTAAACGTAAAATAGCGAAAAGTACCGGATTCCAGACTTCATGCATTCAACCTAACCGATACATAGTTAAAGTTTGCATACATGCAGCAGATGATACAGAGAGAGAGAGAGAGAGAGAGAGAGAGAGAGAGAGAGAGAGATTGGAAAAGGGGAGGGGGGGGGGTGTCAGAGAATAGAAGAAGGAAGGCGTAAACTCGGAGAAGGAATGAGCTGAAATTGAAAAAGATAGTGCCATGTGTAAGTGAGAAAGTGAGAAAGAGTCCCCAAAATGTACCAGACTTGCAAATTATAAAATTGAAATTTCCAATCTCGTCTGAAATCTTAATCTCACGCCGACTCAAACCGCACATTTTATACTTAGTATTTACCAACCCAGAAACAGATTAACCCCCTCTTACTAAAGCCTACTATGAATTATAGATACCGGTCATATTCCTCACAAAACCGCTGCCTTAACATGAAAAATGGTGGGACTGGGAACTATTACGAAACGTTTATAAACCTTATGAATATAGATAGCGGCTTTTGAGATCACTATCATCACTGACATTATGCGTTACCGTGACCGTCTCTGACTTGGTCTCATGTTAAAAATAGTATATCAACGTGGATTTAGCAGTCTCGTCATTCTTTAGATGGTTGGATATTTTCCGAATGAAAAATACGGGTGATAAGTTCCAGGATTTTACCATTTTCATAGGCCTACATCCTAAAAAGGAACGACATCACCGAGCAAATAATGTGCACCTAAATTAAAAAGTTAAAATAGTTAAAATCTCGTCTTATTTTCTCGTTTCCGTCTTCTCCCCCCGAATGCATAAGTCGACTCGGCGAGATCCATAATCTCTTCAATTCGTCACCACAAGGCCATATCGTCACAATGACGTGGACATAATTATTAGCATTTTTAAACGTGAAAAATCGCAAAACCGCTTTTAGAAAATGAAGCTTTTGAGATGATGAATTGAGGGAAAATTGTGTCGTTTCTTCGATTCACCATGGTCACCCATTCCTTTTTATTATTATTGATATCACGACTTTGAGGATTCAAACTTCAGTTTATATTTCCTCTGGAGTGATAAAAAGTTAACGTATCACGTGGACTGGCTATATTCTTTGAACGTGAAGTTATAAGCAAGTAATGCAAACATTGCGTTCACGTATAGTTACATAATATGCGTCTTGCGCCGTTGCATACAATCGACGCATCATTCGCTGGCATAGGACTGCGTCTGTAACATGCACTGTATTTTTGGTGCGTCAATTAGTGAGGGGGACTTCGCACCCAAACTGAATTGAAAATAAACAGACCAAACAAAGCTTTGAATTATTGGCGCATATAGGTTTAATAACGCAATCGAAACGATTTACATGTGCAACAAGCATTGAGACTCGATTAGCGTATGTAATGACGCAAGCAAAATGACGTCAGCTCGTCTGCAATTCTCAATACACTTACCATCTTCTAATTGTGCGTTGCTACTGAAAGACTTGTAAAAAATTGAAATGCTATCGCGGCCGTCTAATTCGTCCATGGCGTAACCCATAATGCTATCAATAGCGGCGGAAAAATCTAAGAATACATCCACACTCGGTCCAGAAGTGACGAATATTCGTTGGAATGACAAGGATTCTTCGGTTAACACTGTGTGATTGGTCCAGTTAGCCCTCGACGATGATAGCGATGGTGATGACGTAGTCGCCGATGTGCACAGGTTCCAGTACGGCTCCGATGGATAGACCTCGTTTGTCATTGGTCCATTCAAAAGTCTGAGCTCTACCCGATCGTGATTGGACCGCTCTGTGCACGTGGTGTCGGGAGAATCTGTGACGTTTGGAAGAACTAGAATAAGCCTGTCGAATGGCGATTGGCTCGTTAACGTGAAGGAACAAACCGGGCGCGAAAACAATTCGGTCGCGTCCTCAACTTTATCGGCTGCTGCCATTGGAAGCGAAAGTAGTATGCTGCCCTCTGCCTCTGACATCTCGCTGTTAGAAGAATTGATGCATAGCGTTGCCATATCAACTGCAGATGGAAATAAAAATGAAAATCATGAGGTTAAACATCATTTAATATGTCAGGAAAGGATTTCATGAAGAAAATACACCTTGTCTTTTTTAAAGGGTATACTCGACCATTGCGGTACCATAGTACAAGTCTCATTAGCGACTTGACCCGATAGCACAAAGTGTGATGACCGCAATAGGTAAAATTTTATTCAGTGAAAGTGTAAAAAATAACCTCGTTGTTGCGATGCAAAGTGTATTTCTCTAATAGTTCTTCCTACATAAATACCATCTGTCTTTAACCTCACGCTCATATAGTTTTTTGCACGTACAGTGATAATGCTGGTAATCATCAACGCAGATGGATAGCTTTAATAGATTACAGAGATTGACAAGTTGCCTGTTTGGCATTTTGTTTTCTTTCAAGTTGCGTCATATCTTACGTCCGAAACGATTCTGATTGATGTTGGTCTCAACTTTGATAATAACGCTGATCGAATACGAATAAGGAATAATATAACACCCGTTTGACATTATTGAAGTCTGAAGCGATACGTGGGATTTAGGATTTTGATTAGTTTTCTTGCATGAGTGAAGTATTGGTTGAAAGAGAGTAACAATACACGGGATTCTTGGATAAACATGTTCTCAATGATACGTGTGGACTGTTGTCGTATGGATGTACTTCGAGAGGGAGTCATTTTTGATCCCGTTGTCATTAATGTGATCCTAGTTGATAGAAGAGAGTGATTTATGAGATCTCTTTCGACGGGTATCACTACTGAGGGGGTGTGGGTGTGGCACCTCACCCTGATTAAAATATTCTGTCGTCAATTCCGTAGATATTTTCGGCAAATATGTATATTTTCAAGCTCTGTCAAAAAGTGGTAAAATGGAATGTCTTTGGAAATATGGAAAGTATTCCGTTGTTGTTGTTGCTGCTTGCTTGCTTGTTGTAAATAATTTTCAAAATAGTAAATACGGAAATTTTGTTGATGCGTTGTTACCAGGTTAGCATTTTTCCTTTCAATTTTTAGGGACATTGTCAGTTTTTTTAGGCCAAGCTTACTGCTATCGATGTGGTCCGACACCTCTCCCCCGTCCTCGTCTCCGCCCCCGAACCCGTTTAAAATGTTCGAGTGACGCCCTTTGGTTTTTCCACTGTGACATTTTGCCAAATAAGCTCCGAGACGAATTAATCTCTCCATACTCTGAATTAGGAACCCATCTCAACCGTACTTCTAAATGTCACATTGCTGTCAGAGGCATTTCAGAGGAATTTTCGATACAAGAACAGGACTGATGAAGACAAACAATGGATCACTCAAATCAAATGTTATCCCTATGGTAACGCATAGAAAATGCAGTTCGATTGACATTTTTGAGTCATCTGCGAACCGTGTTTTAAGCATCCGTTTTGTTTGATTGTTTGTTCTTACCATCAGCGTGTGACATGGATATGAAATACTTTATTAGGAAATAATTACGGTTCGACATCCTTATTCAGAGGCATTATACTCGTTGTCAAGAGATCCATACATGTACGTGCTTGAAATGACATTATATCATAAGCATTATCTTGTAAAATAAGAAACCACTCTGCTATTTAATCATTCACTCATTGCGTCTTTGAGAATTCTTGACACATTTAAAAGAAGGACAAATATTCCCCGTGCTAGCTAATATAACAAGTTCATCAACTATCATTTTTTTTAATAAACAATATGTTTGATTGGTTCAATACATCTGCTTTGAATTCATGATTTTTATGTTCAATGTTTACGCTTACATATAAAGTTGGCATCACTAGTCTTTGGATTACCGTCATTAATCAAATTTTAGTTTAACAAACCTTAATCAATCTGAAAATCTTCACCTAAACCTGAATCTTAATCTTATATTCATTTTTCATTCCTGATGGTATTCACTTTATTCACGATACGCACAGTCATGATCAAACATCACTCGCTCCCATCCTCGTCTGTGACCCTTTACCCTCCTGTAAATGTCTCTCTCTCTTGATATCCCAAGTATTATGGATTCATCCTTGCAATCGCTAAAATGTCGGCCAGTTCGAAAATCCTTCCAACCTCCCGTGGGAATGCAGACTGCATGTGAGAGGAGTCTTCACTTACATAGCATGCTCTTTACATGGTCCTATGTCATGTGAACTTATGCAACGATTTTTTTTTTTTTTTTTAGGAATGTCCTCACATTCTATATGTAGAAGATGCCTGCTTTTGGTAATAGCTATGTTCTGTGTACATCTTGTTTCTTTATTCAACGACATATCACCTTTATAATTTATGTTTTCAATAGAGAATGTTAAAACACACGCACACACACACACACAAAAAAAAAAAGCGGAAGAAGAAAAAGGACTAACGCCATCTTGATGCAAGCCATTTTTTTCGGTTTCTCCTCCATGTTCGTAATTATGCTCCACCCTTTTTACAATACGAACCCATTTCCATCAACGCCATAGTTTGTGATCTAAGTGATTTTCCATGACTGTGATTACATTGATTTAAACCGGTTTCGCTGTCCATACGATTAGTTACGTATTGGCGTATTAGGAGATGCAATATGACATTAGCACACAGTATGGACAGCAAATATGAATTAGATCGCTCTTGACTGCAGTCGGGAAATAAACGTCTTAGAAAACACATTGTAAAGATTCTAATTGTTGCCGATGGTAGTGATAATGATAATGATGATGATGATGATGATGATTGGAGATACTGTTGTTGATGATGATGATGCCGATGATAATAATGATGACGATCGTCGTCAGGATCATAAAGATAATCCTAACATATTATAGGTCTCAAGTGTGATGATAAAAATAATTGATGACGATGATGATAAAAGGTGGTTATGCCATAACAATGACAATAGTCTATAGATACATGAAAGGATATGGTAAAGAACGAATTATGAAAATGTAAAAGTTGTCGAAACTAGAGATCTAGTCATTGTACTCTATCGGCATGACTTCGAATATGAGGTCGGTATCTGCTTCGACAGTGCCCTGCTTTTCTGATTCTAGTATTCAACATCTCCACCTCCCAGACGGCGGTGTACCTCATGGGAAGGGAGGGTGAGGATAAGGCGAGGAGTAAGAGGTGAACATAAGACAACACATAGACATTAGATGGATAGATGAATAGATGAATATTATAGAGACGAGATGGATAGAGGTAGATGAATGGATGGATACCCTAGATGAATTGATAGACAGATAGATAGATGGTTAGATGGATATATGCATTTTCACCTCCCAGACGGTTGTGGGTACCTCATGGGATTATAGTATCAGGATAAGGCGAGAAATAAGAGACGGAGGGGATGAAAAGAAAACAACACATATATTAAATTGAAAGATGAATAAATGAATATAAAAAGATATTGATAGATGTAGATTAATGGACTGATACCCTAGATAATATAGCCTAGATGGATAAATAGATGCATGGATGGATAGATGCATTTTCACCTCCCCCCCCCCCCCCTCCCAGACGGTGGGTGTACCTCATGAGAGGGGAGGAGAAGGAGAAGACCAAGAGTAAGAGGCAGAGGAGGTGAAAAGTATACAACACATAGACATTATAGGTATATAATAGATGAATGAATTGATAGCCTAGATGGGTGGATAGGCAGACAGATAGATGGTTGGATAGATAGATGCATTTTCACATCCCAGACGGTGGGTGTACCTCCTGTCTCATGGGATGGGGACAAGGATAAGGTGAGAAACAAGAGATAGAAGAGAAAGCTGAAAAGCTTATTTACAATGCACTGTTACACTCTTAACAATACTTTTCATTTTATAAGCAGAGATATGGGAAAGAAAGAGATGAGAGAGAAAGAGAGAGAGAGAGAGAGAGAGAGGGAGAGGGAGAGAGAGAGAGAGAGAGAGAGGGGGGGGGGGGGGGGGTGACGGGCGTGGGAGGAAAGGAAAGACGGAGTCAGAGCTAATTAATTATTAATGGAAATGGATTATGATAAACAAACAAAAAAGGAGGAATAGAGAAGATATAGAAGGAGTCAGCGAAAACAATTGCCATTTCTATTTAGGCAGCATAGCATTTGAAAATTTTCGACCCGGTATATTAGTTAACGAAATAAAGCAGCCGCTTGATGATACCAGTGGTTTGAATACACGCTTTGCTATAAACTGTGAAGAAAACAAACCATAAAACGGTTCGTGATATTTCTTTGCATGATTCCGTTTTATTTTTCAACTTTCGGTAAAAAAAACTATTTTGCCAAAAGGTTAAGAATGGATTAAACTTTGTATTTACTTCTACTTCTCGCTCCAAAGATTAAGCTCTCAACGGTTCTTCTCGTAGAAAACAAAGATTTCAAATAGAGGTACATAATTGCCCTCGACTGATAGATTGACCTTTACACTGTCTTTACAGTTCTCGCAAGAAGAAGCAATTATTTCTACCTGAGAATACATGAGAGAGGAAGAAGTAACGTTCAGTAGCCCTACATTCTCACCCCTTTCATCATAATCAATTTTAAGCAAATGCTGCTCGGGTAAATAGATCGATCATGAGACCGAGCCTATATCTTTCCATGAGGCTCCTATCAATGTTTGTACCGCTGGGAATATGTGATAGAATTCACCCTAAAGCTCCGCCATTTTGTCTGCCTCGCTCAGAGGCGAAAAATAGAGTTCTTATTTTGATGATCAACATGATCGGCTACAATGTAATTGTGCAAAATGCTTTCACATTCTAATTGTCGAAGATTTGCGTCATAGTTGGTTTGATTATTGAGTTACTTTTATTCCTTTTTTCCCCTTAAAAATAAAAGTTTGTTTGGATTTCATTCCGTTCATTTTATTTAAAGGGATAGAAAGTGCTCATTATATAAAGTTCATGTTACAAACTTATTCAACATTATTATGAAACCATTTGCAGAAAGACCGAACAATCAAGTTACACATGGACATGATGAGACACCATAGTGGCAAACTGACTACTTATGTTACGTTCGATTGC